AAAACAAACAAAATGTTATACCAGTGTTTACACAGCAATATAATCCGGGTTGGCCGTGTTCAGCTATGCGAAGTCCTTACATATGTGTGATACGCTGTAAATCTTCATTCTTGTACATTGTAAAATTTATCTCACGATAACTCTGTCAATTTTTTCAAATATCAAACTGAAATTTGGTATAAAAGTGTGTTACAGCCATATGAATAACATATCGTCTGATGTTGCTTGCTTTTGTAGATTAATTTTAGAGATATAGTTTGAAGACGCTTCACGATCTGTAGATTTCTTTATAGACGTATGCAACGGCGCCAATCGTAAAAATTCAATTCGTCATTTCTATGTCATTTTTTTCAAATATCGACCTGAAATTTGGCACATAGGTGTATCATAGTCATATGAAAAACATATCTTCTGATGTCGCTTACTTTATAGGTTAATCTTAAAGGTAAAGTCAGAAGACGCTTCACGATCTGCGANCGGTCGTTTTTCATATATCTAGCTAAAATTTGGAGTATATATCAATAAAAGTGTTATTCATAACATATCCTCTGATGTCGCTTACTTTAGTAAGAGTTTTTAAAGATATTGTCTAGCGACGCTTTCTTAACTGTACATAATATTACACACACGAGACAGACAGACAGACAGACATACATTCTTTATTTCCTCTGATAAGAGATTACATGGTCTTGTCGTTTTTAACAATTTTAACAATTTACAGCATGCACACTACATATTTACATAATACTACAGTTTCTAACTGTATTCTTCAAACTATGCTCAAGAGCTAGAGCTGCTCTGAAGAAGTATGTTCATTTCTGTGAACATCCCAGCATGTTTGTCACTTATAGCAACCATCAGATTGTCCCATTCTCCATCGTCCAAAGAAATATTGTTCCTTCCACCAAGAATAAATGAACATTTTTCGTCTTCCTCTAGCATATCGTATTGTACTTATTTTTCAACGCTTATAAGATTAACTATTTGTTCCAGCAAGATGTCTCTACTTTTGAATAATGTGGGACATTGTATAATGAGATTTTTAAATCATATGGTCATTAATCTCATTATACAATAAAAAATACAAATATTTTTCTTAATGTTTACATACCGTAGTTTTCTGACGACGAGATTTTTTTAATCGGGGCAGAGGCGGTCGGGTATTAATATTAGTACGAAATGTTCCCATGCATCCGAATAACTGCATCATACTTATAAGAAAATGAGTCCTTACATTTTCGAGATTATGCACGTTGATATTATTAAAGTAAAAAAAGTATGACTAGTCGATTGACTTATTTGTGATTTAAACTGCAAATCATATTGTATAAATGTAGACGTGCAAGTTAGCCTGCACCCCCTTGTCCCACACGCCTGAACCTGGCCAACATTTAGCACGATTACTAGCCGAAGAAACGGGAAAGAAGTGACTGAACTGATCGTCTAGCTGATCTGCAGCTATCACACTATCACATCAATTCATATACTTTAAATTGGGTGGAAGATAGGCTGCTACATGTCACAAGTTTAAACACAGCAACCGTGTCTGTCATCTTCCGTATCGAAATGTAAACAATCTACCGGAAAAATAGAAGTTATATTGTACATTCTTGTAAAGCAAGTGAGATTCCGTTTTCGCGTGAAACAGAAATAGAATAGAAATATGACGTCTCTCGGAATTCCCGTTTTTCTGCCTTTTCATTGGCTAGAAGTTAAGGACCCAAATCCCAGCCGGCGGCTCATATCTAATTATCTTTATAGGCAATATATATGATAAGTCATACAGTTTGATCAATATGGGCAGTAGATCGGGTTAAAACAAATATCTGTTGGAAACGTGTTTAAAAAAAAAATTAATGCAATGAATAACGATTATGCACACAAAGGAATTTGTCAAAACTTTCAAGGCAATCTGCCCCTTTTTCAAGACAGAAACAAGAACACTCCCTGTCTGATCAGTTGTTTGTTATACTTATGGTATTACAGTATTCATCAATCAATCAATCAAATATTTTATTTCAGTTTCACACATTTTTAGTTCACCTGAGACAAAGTCTCAAGTGACCTATTGTGATCGCCTTTTGTCCGTCGTCGTCCGTCGTCCTGCGTTCGTCGTGCGTCGTCCGTCGTGTGGCCGTAAACAATTTACATTTTCGACTTCTTCTTCTAAACCCCTGAACTAATTTCAATGAAATTTTGCAGAAACCTTCCATGGCCAAAGGTCAACAAAAATAGTGAATCACATGGTCCCCAGCCCCCAGGGGCCTGAGGTAAAATTTCAAAAATCTTCTTCTCAAGAACCAGATATGGTAGAATCAAATACTCTTCATAGATGGAAGGGTCTTAATTAAGGTGTTTTACCAAAATTGTGAATTTCTTGAGCCTGGGGTCTCACGTTTCTCCCTGGGGAGGGGGTAAACTTTACTATAGATTATATAGGGAAATCACATTTTGGACCAGCATTTGTTTAATTTACGTTGGAAGTAATTCAATTTGGGTAAGCATTATCAGTATTGGATAGCAGTTTGATGGTATGCACATATCGGCCCTGACTGACCCCAGGGGCTGATGGGTGGGGCCAAAAAGGGTCGAATTGACTTAAATTTCAAAATCTTCTTCTCAAGACCCAGATATGTGGTAGAATTAAATACTCTTCATAGATGGAAGGGTTTTAAGGTGCTCTAATACAATTTTGAATTTTATGACCCTAGGGTCTTCACGTTTACCCCTAGGGAAGGGGGGGGGGGCAGCCCAATTTAGTACGGCAAATAATACTTTGAATATAATATGTTGATAACTGGATTGGAATTAAAACCCTGAGTTGACAGTTTGATACTCTGAAAAATTTGAGCCGGCTCTACCCTCAAGGGCGCCCAAAGGAGTCAGTGTGCTAACATTTCTTCATTTTCCTTGTTTAGAATCAGAGGTGCTAGATTCAAATACTTTGCAGTCTTAAATCTGTATGCTAGATATATATATATAATTTTTTATTTTTTTTTTATTAATTTTCATTTTTTTTTAACATGACATGATGCAACACATATGGTACATGATTGTTGGTTAAGCTCTTAAAGCTTAAGAGTTGTTGCTAATTAATTCACTATGAATATATTTATCAAGCATGTACCTATATACAGAGGCAAAAAAAAATTCATACACGGACACACCTATACCTACAGTTACAAACCTACACACATTAATATATAAATAAAATATTAATCAATAAATGGTATTCATGACATTAGGTATTAGGTATACAGACAAAAAACAAATGCACACAAAAGACAAAGGACAAGACATGTGGGACAAAGCAAGGACAAGGGAAACCTAGGTCAGAAAGATGTTAAATTTAATTTATTTTGATTTTTAAATTTGCAACCAGTGAATTATTTGTGTTAATCTGTATTTTATTTTTATGTTACTTTTAGATATCATAGTTTAGTATGTTAGACTTTGAATAAGGTTGATTTATTGTTGTTTTTTTCACTTTGAATAATACTTCTGTTCATGTTTTAAAAACAAAAATCAACTTTCTGTATAAATATATCAGAACTCAGGTGACCGTTAAGGCCCATGGGCCTCTTGTATAAGTTATTTTATACACAGTTTAAACTGCCCTGTCATACCGGCTGGTGAGACACCGTACTTCTCTATTTGAAAGACTAGACATATTATGTTTAAACGTACAGGATTACAATATCAGCCGCTGGGTTACTGTACCACTTCTGAAGGAACTAAGGGATCTGCGACGGGTTCTAGGAATTAATGCATTTAGAACATAAATGTCCGTAAACAGCTCTGAAAAATACTTTGATTTTAACAAATTTTATTGACAGATGTAATTTTCAAATTGATTGTATAACAGGCAAGCCCATGTAAATTCTTTCCATGAGTAGCTCAAAATTTGATCTAATATATATATACAATGTAGTTACTATTATGAAAATTTAATGATACTTTGAGATGAAAAAGTATAGATGTATAAAGAGTAATACTAATTAAATGATCAGGGGAGATAACTCCAACATGATAAACACAACGGGGATGAACTCATAGGACATTACACAAACAATACGCAAACAGAACACAATCATACATCCAACACACATACAATTATATACATTGTAAAGCATATAGTCACAGTCAGTATATCATATGTACAGTAAGAGTAGACTTTGACCAAAAGTCCATGTGCAGGTACATGTTGTACGTGCACAGGTCATTGCTACTAATACTGCTTATGAGTAAATCAGTACAAATCTAAATAATGTTACATAAAGGCAATATATGATTATGTTCATTATATTGAACAAAAAAACCAACAAGATATAACAAACCTTCTCAACTTTAATCTCATTTATAATTATGAATCAATTTTTTTTTATACTTTGTTATTCGATGAACGTATATATATAGAGGATCTGACACGAGTGATCATGTAATATTGAATTTATTTAACGAGTTTATTAATTTCATATGAAAATAATAAACGAGTTTATTCAATATTTTCAGAAACTTCTTCCCGAGAACCTTTTCAATGAATAAACAATCATTTTTTTTTTTTTATCAACTAATGTTTTGATAATTATCATGACAACATTAATAATCATGTTTTATACGAAAACCATTCAACGAATTGGCGTTTACGAAAATAGCAGTGACGTCACATATTTGGCACAACGGCGGTAAAGGTCATCACAATACACATCGAAGTCTGTACTTTTTAAAAATTTACAGGGACTGGAGTGATTGTCACTCTCTATAACATAAGCGCGTTTCTTTGGAGAGGGTTGTTGGTGAATGTGAACCTCGATGTTTCCGCCTATCACTGTGCATGAGCCAGAAAATATACTGTGGAATCCGCCATGAAACTGGAACACTGATGAAGTTAACCGGTTACACGTGCTCGCCATTGACTGTGTGTATGTCGGAGAAGTTCAAGTGGAATTTGAACATGCAGGTGTTGAATTTGTGTGAAGCTAGAAATCGTGTTTATATAATATTGAATTTATTAAACTCGTTTGTTTATTTTATTCTCCCAGTGCCCCTGCCTTTGCTATCAATGCAAACAGTTTTTCGGTCAGCCATTTTGTTTACAAACGTATGTAACTGGGCTGGGTTAGTTCCCAGTGAATGTTTGAATAACTCACAAAGACTGTTCATTAATCAGTTCACGTTTATTCTTGCATGTATATCATCAAATTCCATGAATTAATATCTGTCTGTTATATCTTTACATGGATATCCTGAATTCTGTAACAGATACAAATAAGACACATTTAGATGACATACATATCTCTTACATCTATACTTACACCAATACTTGCATGCATACATACATTATCATACATACATACATACATATGACCCTATTTATTCAATGTTACTTCAAATAATCTATGAAACCATATCATTCTAACAATACACAATATGTTAGATTTATTAACCTTTACACACTATAGATACAGTCTAAGGGGAGATAATCTACCCTCAGCATTACATTTAGCATTAACTAGGAATGATACTCAAAATACAAACTTCGCCATAATATATAGACATATGTGTACCTGGCCATGGGCCGAATTCCTAGACTCTTCCAATTGTAATCAATATTCACTCGACCCAGGGTCCTATGCATAAATAAAATACTACATGTTACAATGGTTCTAATTACTCTTAAAACATCTTCACCAAAACAAAACCAATAAATGTACCAAGATATCTTATCAATCTCAGTTACTGCAGAAATACAATAAATGCATGAAAATAGTTTTATGTTCAAGCCGTTTAACTTTTTACAACAGATTTGCATTACTTTAAATTCGACTTTTAGTCTTCCAACATTTTGTCAGACTCAAGTACATTCAAAAGGTAGCAATTACATATTTTACAACATTATACAAACTACATGTTAATAGAGAAGATCAAATAGAAACTTACAGGAGTATGAAGCCATGTCCAGGTTCAGCAAAAAGTAGTAGAATAGTAAGCCCAAGTGGCTTCTCCAAGATCTGACTCGAAAGTGCCAAATCATACAAAGAAATCTTTCTTACTGACAAAAAGTGGAGGGAAAATGAGGACCAATAAAAACATGTTTCTTTCAATATCTCAACCAATGGTATCATCATCTTATGTCAGGTGATCAATTAGAAGGTTCCACTTATAGAAGTATATGCTTACCTGTACATGTATATACCTATACAGGTAAAGTGGGCTCACCACCACTCACACATGCTCACCTTTCAGATCACTCTAGCTACAGGTAAATACACACACAATGACATATACATGGACAATACTTGGATAACACATTGTGCTTTGTGAAAGGTAAAATGATGTGCTGATGATGATGCTACATGTAATAAAATAATACAACACTTAGGATTAAAACTTACTATAAACACTCTTAAGATTTTAACCCTGCCACGCGTAGAAGTTGTAGTGCGTAGGAATATGACCTGTTTCCCACGGTGGCAAGACTCATTTGCATGTTTATTGTACGTGTGCTATATCGTTTTTATTGAACGGCAATATTGCACGGAAATAGCCTGTATTATATAATAAATTTGATTTACTATACCTCATTATAATGCAGCATGGCTTTCTACGTCACATTAAAACTAAAACGCCTAGTTTTTCCAATAAAATTCTGAATATGACCTAGCACCTGTCTGTTTATATTCAGATCACATGTAGGACAACCTTGAAAAAAATATATTTAAATCCATATGGTTATGATTACTAATGAGAGGCTGCTTCGTCTTCAAAAGAACAAGCACAAACAAGTTGGACTATCTATCTGAAACATACTTGATCTATGTGCTCGTACCTAATTTCCATTATCACCTGTTTTATTGTACTTCATAGATCTCTATACCTCTCTAAGGCATCACGTTCTACCAAAACGTATCTCTGTTAAAAGAATTCCGTACGTTAACATCACTGGTAAGTTCGTTTACGTACTTAGATATCCCTGTGTCTAATGACCGACCATGTGTTATTAACCATTTATTTACAATATTAACAATCCTACTTGGTATAAAAATATAACCATATACATATACGATATACATAGTTCATATAGACAAGGAATCATCTGACCAGAGACATGTCTATTGGAAACACTGGGAAGTACAGGGGGCTTACTCTGTCACTGTTATACTCAATAACTACTAAACCTCATGCCCCTGTGTATTACAAATATGGAATAAACAAACATCACTCGTTTTCGTATAATCTTTGTTTTTGATACTGAACCTTTATTTGAAACTGTCACAGAGACAGGCCTGTCTCATTTTTAATGTTATAGTGATTATAGATGATTTTTGACAATTTTTAGGAAAAGTGCAAATCAATTTAAGAGAAACATAAATTATGTATTTGTTTCGAAGAATATGATTTTTTTTTCGGTGATTTTTTCGGCTATGTTTTTGGTTTAAATTTTTACATAAATGATTTACAACATATTACAATGAAGTCAGAAAAGAAACAATTCGGTTATTTATGCTGAACTCAACAATGAATTTTCTAGACGAACGCTATTTTTGGCTTCATTTTCATTTAGTAATTTTCTTTTTATTCAAGATTTTTTTTGCAATATATTGTATAGTTACATTCAAATAATTCATATTATATATTCATACCTCACACGACTCATATATACTCTTACTTACATCAGTTGATATATTAGACACAAGTACATGTAATGGTACCCATGTACACATATATTGCCTTTATGATAAAAGAGAGAGAGAGAGAGAGAGAGAGAGAGAGAGAGAGAGAAAAGAAGAAGAGGGGACAAAANAGATGTATTGTATCTGCTGACTTGATGATATTAAATTATTTAATTTTGGCTTATAATTCCAGGAGGTGGTTCCATTTTTTCCATTTCTGGCTTCATGATTATCATTCTCCCCGCGTGCAAATTTATAAAAAGAGTCGATGATGCAAACAATTATATACTGAATATCATTCATTTAAGATAAACATGTAAACTTCTAAATCAAGGTCACAGCTTAGCAAAAGCTGCGATCTTTTCAGGCTTTGCCTTTTCTAATACTTTGAAAAAGAAAACGCTGAAAATATGGCATTTCGCTAGAAATTTTCAATTTCACAGCTTGGATCGGTTGTTTTGGTAATCATGAGGACGATACGTTTCGCAAGAGTTATGGCTAATATATATCAACTTGTAGGGATAGCAGGAGACGTATAATACAATAAACAAAAAATCTAGAATAGCTCCTTGTAAGGATTTATTATCATTAATTAAACCGTCGCTATTACCAACCGAGTGTCAATAGCCATTGTCGCGCGGTGATGCTATTGACACTCCGGGCATCTTCTCTGGAAAGCGATTACCGGGTGTAAGGTTCCGATTCTGTCCATGAACTACATTTTTTTTTTAATCTTGACTTTATAATACAGAAAAACAACCGTTTGCGATCATTCAAAATGATTTTCTGAAACGTGACCTGACACATCATTGCGATATCATTGACATTTTGATCAGCAGAAGAATATAGTACTGCCAAACACTCATCTGACATAGCCTCACTGATATGAACAGTTATAAAACAAAGTTGCTGTGAAGCGTTTCTACGCATTGTTTTAATATAAATGTATTCCTTCGGTATACCACACTTTTCCCGCTGTTTCTAAATTTGCTTTTGGTCAATTTGTACGGTATCTATAAAACCAACTATAGTTGTTGTTGCATTCGCAATATTACGCTTGACCTTTTTAGCAAATTCACAGGTACATATGTAGATGAGAATAAGAGTCAATAATTATGTAGGTAGCTAAAGTAGGATATGGACTTCTAACCTCTGCTATAGAAGTTGGAAACAGATCTAGAACATCGGCCAAGCTTTGGTTTTGACTCAAATTCTACAACTTCTATATTATTTTATCTCAGATTATGTCGAATTAGGCGTTTAAACTAGCTCCATCTAAAAAAAACAAGAACTGAAACTGTGCCTTTTAAGTTTTAAATGCTTGAATAGTGATGCCATAAGTTCTTATTTCATTTTTATAGAATGTATATTGATAAAAATTACTTAGCTGACCGAAGCCGACATGATATTTATCATCATACTTACTGACGACACTGGCCGGCCTTGTCATCCGAAACCTTTTATCTGTTCGAGTTTGATCTCTTGGCATTTGATTTTCCCAATAAAACAGAATCAAAATAATCAAACAGGTAATCTATCCTGTTATGCATACGGCACATTTCACCATTACTGTACAATGCAGATCGTGCATGCTAAAACCAGTAGACTTATTGTTGAGTATAGCAGCTGTTTTGGGAATGTTGTGAAAAGCCCGTCAAAGTATTTCATAAGAACTTCTTGTATCACTGTTTTTGTTTAATTTCATTTTCAATTTTTATTTTATCATTTTTTAAACTTGTTTTGTAGACCTTTTCCATTCACGTCATCATTTACATGGTTCTGACGTGCAAAAAATGTAAACGGATAAGGATTTGCACTTTTTTAAGCTTTTGGTTGTGCCAGATCACAAATGACACCAGGAGCCCACCACCTACTGACTATTACAGAGTATGGTGTTTTAACGTTTTGTATTGATGAATAGTAGTGTATGACTTCTCGGTCACTACTTGTGATAGACATGACATACATTTACATGTATTCCCATTCTGGTAAGGTTATCGTCTGATGTCTATACCAGTCTGGGTATAGTGAAAGTAGTAATATTTTGCCATATTTAATGTCCATCATTTATGTATCGTTAAGTAGGAAGCTGGACAGTAGCTCAATTTATTAGGTAATTCTCGTAATCGGCATGTCGCATCGTAAGTTGAATAACAGAAACGAAAGTCTTCATTTAAGTCAATCATAGAATTCAACATTTGTTTTGATACATTAAAGAAGTGGTCGTAGTGGAAATGTTGTACATTTTTGTAAGTAGGAAAATAATGTTATGTGCTTTAAGAATGGGGGTGTTATGACGAGTTTATGAGGGGGATATCTAACAGGAATGTGTTGTGTGCTAGGTAATATTGTAACAGATCTAGTCCATTATTTTGTCAATGCCTCCGCTAGGAGTCAAACCCGGGACTTCTGGCTTAGTAGTCTTACGCTCTACCGAATGAGGTAAAGAGAAACTCTCCCTAGCCGAGTCGGTAGGAAGCGGCTAGTATTTTAACAGGTTGAAACATTCCCCCTCCAGGAAAGAACTCGTCCCGAGTTTTCCAGGGGTCATATAGCGATTCTTGTGAAAGTATCGCTGAGTATATCTGTCAAATCTCCCGGGTCCCTACGTGGGCGCACAATGTAACCGTGGAGGTCAATGTAATACTGTACCAGAGGAATGAGTCACCCAAATCTGTATGGACTTCTGACGCCGGCTAATCAGGGGTTTGTGATGTCGAATCAGATGACCAATGTTTGTATGATAGACTAGTTTGGTATTCTAATGAAAATCCTATAGTAATCCAGGGAGTAGAGCGGAAACCCCCTGATAGGTACGGACACTGGGCATGTCAATCATGTACATGTCATTTACCCCCCTATGATGTCTATACCAGTCTGGGTATAGTAATCCAGGGAGTAGAGCGGAAACCCCCTGATAGGTACGGACACTGGGCATGTCAATCAGGTAACTGTCATTTACCATTCTCTGATGTCTATACCAGTCTGGGTATAGTAATCCAGGGAGTAGAGCGGAAACCCCCTGATAGGTACGGACACTGGGCATGTCAATCATGTACATGTAATTTACCATTCTCTAATGTCTATACCAGTCTGGGTATAGTGAAAGCAGCAATGGTTGGAAAAGGAATTAACACGGAAACAATAACAGTAACACGGTTGACTCCTTGACTATTATATTAACATGAAAAATCCGGGTCCACTAAACTGCATAACGATGAATCAACGGGTTCACACACTCCTGTAAAGATAGAGAAGGGGTATTTTAAAACTTGTTTCCAATTGTTCTTTATCTTTTGTTTTGTTTGTTCAGAACTTTATTCAGTAAGGTTGATAGCTTTAGCGAAGATGATT